GTTCCGAGGTAAATTTTGGAAGGCAGATGGGTTTGTAGATAAGACACTACCCAGAGATTTCGCCCTCATTTTGCGAGGACTTTATGATCTGAGTTCTGGTTTCCTATAGGCACAAGCCCCTATAGTTAATTACCCCTCCCACTAACGAGAGAGAACTTTCGATTAAGGCTAGTCGTCAATCAGATACATTATAGGAAGATTGTGTATTAATATCATATAAATTGAATTGTCATTTTGTATTTCTTCATGTATTAATTATAAGCTTGGTTGATATTAGCATTTAATTTGTTGAAAATAATGAACTCTCTATCGTCATGTAAGAATGATTCAAATTTATGAGAACTTCTCACCCATAAGAGATTAAATTCTTTATATTTCTTTAAAACATATTTATATTTGAAACATCAAGTCTTCCTGTAAATTCAATATATCATAGTTGAATATTTGATTGAGTAATAAAATATAGCCTCCCAATTAGAACATAATGGCAGCACTCTCTTTGTTGATTAGGACCTTTAGTGTCGTTTGAGGTTTTTGGACACTTAAGATATTCAAAATTTTTTGATCTCCTTAGAATACTAGCCTTGAATTTGTTGTGATGGTGTAATTGGATAACTTAGTCTAAATTTGATGAGAATGATGTCTCTGACCTCTTATTGTTCCTACTTTTCAATTGAGGCCTACAAATTTCTTGTTGTAACTCTTACATTTACTTGATGATCATTTAAATTGCTTTTGATAGGCAATGATGGACTCATCAGCAATTATTTGTGTTTCTACTCAATTAATATAACTAACATAAAAGTAAACAATCCCTCGCATCAATGCATAGAAGGTTTTAGAGTAGAGACATCCAAAAAATAAAAATAAAAAAAGATTCGTAATAACTTCGGATCCACTCTTGAAATTTGACGGCTTCAAAAGAAAATATTTGAAAGCACTCCTTAAGGGTTATTCCCTCATTTTGGCGAATCCCAAAAAGATGGGAGGATTCCTAGATAATCTTTCAATGGGTGTTAAATTATGGCGATTTTCGGGTAAGATAATATAGTTATTAAGCTCTCTTAACTCTCGAACATCTCTAATGCAAAAAATTGATCATATTATAGCATTTTGATCGAGGCATTTTGATAAATTTGGCTAGGATAAAAAAATATTCTATCAAACGGCTCATGTTAATCCCCTTGATTATACATCATTTATTCAGCACTTGAGTATAGTAATTACCTCAAAATTGAATGATCTTGAGTTTATTGGATGTATCAACGAGATGCACGATTTGAGTTCTTCAATTAATGTCATTTAGTTCATAAGTATGGAAGATTCATAGGTCATTTAATTCTACAATTAATATCATAAAGCTTCTCCATATGCTTTCAGTATTTGAATTGGGCTCATTTGGAGTCCAATCAGATGACTTGTGCTGTCGATGGCTTTCATTTTTTGAGATGTTCAGATGAACTGAAATTTAATTTCAGAAATTTCAAATTCAAATATACATTGAGGAGCCAATTTTTCTAGAAACGTACCAAACAAGATAGAAGTGAAATAGAAAAATCGGTAAGATAGATTACCTCCTGAGCAAAGTGACCGGAAGAAGCAAGCTCCTCTCTTACGAGATCACCGGTGGCAATATGGGGAACGCCGAGAAGCTGTGAGAGACGGCTGGCATACGTGCCTTTCCCCACGCCGGGGCAGCCAAGAAACACCCAATGCACGCCCCGCTCCTTCATATCGCTCTGCGCCGGCAGCGAACCCCTCATCAGACTCGCCGGAAACTGAGCAGCCGCTTCCGTTGTCACAGCCGAAAAAGCTCTACTCGCCTTCAAGCATCTTAGCAAACGGATTGACGCCGACATGTCGATCAAACTGAGCAACAGAGAAGAATCGACTCGTCCAGACTTCAGAGAGAACAGGCCGTGCGAAAGAAAAGGAAATTGATCTTCTGGCCAGAAAAGAAGCCAAAACAATTTCTATAATGTATAAATTATTATTTAATTATTATTTAAAATTGGTGCCGATTCGATGTGAGATTTTATTTAGAGGTATTTTAAAATAATACTTTTTAGGGGATTTTAAAAGAATATTCTTTTTTAAGGGATTTTAGAGGAATATTCGTTACACAACGCAGAAAGAGGCGGCTGACTCGCTCAAAATTTGTCACAGCTTCGAAATCTTCCTCAATCTCTCTTTGGGCTTCACCTTAAATTATAGATTAAATTAGGATTTATTTTAATTTGTTCAAATTATTTTCATTTTAGTTGAAATAGTCAATTATTTAATTCAAATGTAATTATGAGTCAATTCAAAATCAACTCTTTTCAAGTCAAATCAACTCGAAACAAATTCCAATTAAACCCACTTAGCCAAACTTATGTCACTTTTGAACCTAAAGCTCATCCAAAGTTCAACTATGATTGCTTGAGCTAAGTCCAATTGATTAGCAGTTCGGAACTCAAAAAGATTCTTCTCATTGATAGGGGGAGCTTTGTGAATGTTAACTTTGTAGGTCTAGTCAAAAAATTGAGTACTTTAAATAAAAATTTCATGGTGATCAAGACTCTTATGCTTCGTTTGGAATGACTTTCTTACTGTTTTTTAAAGCAGTTTTCTAGAATTTTTATACTTGAAAGCTACTTTAAGAAGTTGTAAGAAAGTCGTTCCAAATGAAGCCTTAGTTAGATTGTGCTGTAGGGAGATCATCAAAGAAGCATCGCAAACAAAGCTCCTCAGAGCTAGAACACAAAACAAGTGAAAACACCGTTAAATTTCTAAAAATATTTTCATCATCTTCTCTCTTACAACTCCTATTCTTATAAGATAGCAAGAGACACCTAGAGAAATCAAGAACAATCTAGAATCCTATAACAAACTTGTAACAAACTAATTAACATATGTCTAAGGAACAATTTAACTAAGATGCACTGCATCATTCTTCTCTGGTACGAAGAATCTGAAACTATCAGTCTCAGTGGGTAGTCAAGCTAGCGGTGGAACTCCTGAGCTTGGGATTATACAATTTTCATCGGTGGGAAGGAATATTTATTGGAGATGAGGAAGAGGAAGCTTCTACTGCTATTACGATTCGGTTCCAACCATTGCCCATTTCCAGAGCCATCAAGATGCCAAGATTGCAAGGTATTCTGCCATGGAAATATAGTCCTAGTAACATGAAGTTTCCTCCTAAGATCCTTGAAAGTTGTGTCTGGCAAATGCAAATAAGATTCCTCAAGAGATGCCATATACTCAACCTCATGGTGGAATATTATGTTTGATATTAATATAGCATAATCTTTCGATGATTCTAAGGGGGTGGAGTCCCTGCATTTTTAGTATCCAGCTATTGATTTCCTTCTTCAAAATAGTGTGCAACAACCTGCATTTTTCCTTTTACTTCCACAACTTGCAAATCATCCTTGAATTCAAGGGTCCATATAGAACGCCAATTGCTAGTACAAAAATATTGTTGGCTAGTTCTTGAACCAAAAATCACAATAGCAAAATCAAAGTTTACACCTAGTTTATACATGTTTTTTCTTCTAGTGCAATAAATTGCGCAGGTTCCTTTGGGATAAGTATCAACAACATATTTGCAAAGTTTAGCATCCAGTGCTAACCAAAATTCATCAACATAGGATGATGGAAGCTCTTCATCATTAGCAGGTCATACCTTTGTACAAACTTGTTTCATATGGCAATCTGAGCAGTCATAGGATCAAAGAAGTTATCCTTATCAATTTCACCAAATGACGATATTATTATATCATCACTCCTATCAAGCATCTCAAGAACTATGAGATGGTCTTTTTTGAAAAGAGGAAAGGCCTCAACCACTGCCATATTATACAATATGTCATCCTCGATGAGCACCCGAACATCTTTTGCAATGTACCGGATCTCACCGGAAGGGGCATTAGTGAGGAACCATTTGATCTCCTTCTTTTTCTTCTTAGTCAATTTTGGGTTCTCAGACTCCTCTCCCCAGTCTTCCATGGGAGGAAGCAACGAGGAGATTCTGTAATTGATGGGGATAAGGGGAAGGATAGTCAGGATGCCTATCGTGAGTCTATTTTTTTTTTTTTTTTTTTTTGTTTTTTTTTTTTTTTTTTGGATTGAAGGGGCAGAAGACGAGGCGGTGGATAAGGAAACAAAGGGCTCTGATGAAGACAGCTTTGAAATCGTATGCTAGAGCGAAAATGAGATCATGCAAGAAGGATGCCACAGGTACGGATGAGCATGGGAATGGGCGAATGCCAACTATCGAGAGCGGCATGGCTGTTTGCACAAACTGGATAAGCACGGGCACAGATCGTAGTCGATTGCGATGAATGCTGCCAAGGTCATGGACGGATGAATCGTGTGTGGAAATGTCCGACAATATGAATGCCATCGGTGAATTCATTCTGGTATGGTTGTCAGAAAATATAATTTCTTGTATGGTTTCCAACGAGGGATATGTAGATTCGCCGGTGTGTTTGTCGGTTGGTGGAGGCTTCAAACATCATCTATAGCCTAGCTTCATACATGGTCTTCCCAAAACATCCTAAACCCCGATCAAGGTCAAGTGTTAATGTAGTAGCAGCCTAGTGCCCTAATGGACATCAAGGGCTAAATCTAGCTCTGATACCATTCTGATGTAGGGAAATCATCGAAGAAGCATCACAAATAAAGCTCCTCAAAGCTAGAACACAAAACTAGTGAAAACACTGTTAAATTTTCAAATATATATTCATCATCTTCCCTCTTACAACTCCTATTCTTATAAGCTAGCAAGAAAAATCTAGAGAAATTAAGAACATTCTAGAATCTTATAACAAATTTATAACAAACTAATTAACATATGCCTAATGAACAATTTAACTAAGATGTTCTGCATCAGATTGTACTTCTAAAAGGCATCATCTTTCAAAGTTTTCATTAGAAAAAAAATTATACGATGATGAATGTTTATTTGAGGCCAAGGTTTTGTTTGAAATAGCTTTCTTACTACTTTTTTAAGCAGCTTTTTAGTAACAAAATTTTTAGAATTAAAAAATTTTATACTTGAGAAAGAAACACCCAATGCACGCCCCGCTCCTTCATATCGCTCTGCGCCGGCAGCGAACCCCTCATCAGACTCGCCGGAAACTGAGCAGCCGCTTCCGTTGTCACAGCCGAAAAAGCTCTACTCGTCTTCAAACATCTTAGCAAACGGATTGACGCCGACATGTCGATCAAACTGAGCAACAGAGAAGAATCGACTCGTCCAGACTTCAGAGAGAACAGGCCGTGCGAAAGAAAAGGAAATTGATCTTCTGGCCAGAAAAGAAGCCAAAACAATTTCTATAATGTATAAATTATTATTTAATTATTATTTAAAATTGGTGCCGATTCTATGTGAGATTTTATTTAGAGGTATTTTAAAATAATACTTTTTAGGGGATTTTAAAAGAATATTCTTTTTTAAGGGATTTTAGAGGAATATTCGTTACACAACGCAGAAAGAGGCGGCTGACTCGCTCAAAATTTGTCACAGCTTCGAAATCTTCCTCAATCTTTTTTTTTTGGGACATTTAGGTCATTTAAGGCAAACTCACACACACAACGCATACACAAAGACTCGAACCTTGGACCTCTTAGTTGGAAGCCTGAGCTCTCAACCAATAGGCCAAGGAGAGTTGGGCTTGTCACAGCTTCGAAATCTTCCTCAATCTCTCTTTGGGCTTCACCTTAAATTATAGATGAAATTAGGATTTATTTTAATTTGTTCAAATTATTTTTATTTTAGTTGAAATATTTAAATTTGTAACTCAAATTTAATTATGAGTCAATTCAAAATCAACTCTTTTCAAGTCGAATCAACTCGAAACAATTTCCAATTAAACCCACTTAGCCAAACTTATGTCACTTTTGAACCTAAAGCTCATCCGATGTTCAACAATGATTGCTTGAGCTAAGTCCAATTGATTAGCAGTTCGGAAACCAAAAATATTCTTCCAATTGATAGGAGAAGCTTTCTGAATGTTAATTTTATGAGTCTAGCCAAAAAATTGAGTACTTTAAATAAAAATTTTATGGTGATCAAGACTCTTATACTTCATTTGGAATGACTTGCTTATTGTTTTTTAAAGCAATTTTCTATAAATTTTATACTTGAAAGCTACTTTAAGAAGCAATAAGAAAGTCGTTCCAAATGAAGCCTTAGATTGTGATGTAGGGAGATCATCGAAGAAGCATCACAAACAAAGCTCATTAGAACTAGAACACAAAACAAGTGAAAACACTGTTAAATTTCCAAAAATATATTCATCATCTTCCCTCTTACAACGCCTATTCTTATAAGATAGCAAGAGAAACCTAGAGAAATCAAGAACAATAAATTGCAACATCAAAATCAAAATTTGCACCTGGTCTATCCATGTCTTTTTTTCTAGTGCAATAAATTGCACGGGTTCCTTTGGGATAAGTATTGATACGTCATCACAAAGTTATCTTGATTGGGCACGAATTTCGAGGCAAAATCAGTTCGGAAACTTCAAAAATTAAATTTGAGAGCATATGAGCTCTGATTTTAGCGAGCTTACAGTCAAACTGAGCGTCTCGGAAATACAAATCCAACGACTCCAAATTCGACCCAATCCGAGTCCAAATGGGTCTGAATCAAGGACCCGAAGCACTGTTGGAAGGTTCAAACCACAATTTGAGTTATCAAACGATCTCCGATTTTAACGAGCTTATACTCGAATCAAGCGTCTCGACGAGACAAATCCAACGAGCCCAAGATCACCGAATTTTGGCATCATTAAGGCCTTCAAATGTCCAACGAACAGTGCATGATCAAATGATTCGATATCAGCAGTCCATTCAAACCACTCCCAATTCGCCCATGATCTCACGCCTATTTACGGGCTATGCCACTCCAGAAAAACTATAAATAGAGCCCTCATTCTACACAAA